TCAGCCCCGAGCACACGCTGCCCCCCAGCCCAAGCCCCGAGCACATGCTGCCCCCCAGCTTCAGCCCTGAGCACACACTGCCCCCCAGCCCCGAGCACACGCTGCCCACCCCCATCCCCCTGTACACTCAGCTTTGGTTCCCTCCCTTGCTCCCTACAGACCCCCGACCCCCACTCTAACTCCTCCTCTCCCCCTGCACCCACAGTGCCCAGAGGCCCTTCTGCTGCCCTGCTCCAGCTCCTGCCTCTCTCTAAGGGCCTGGCTAGACCCCTGACAGGTCCTCTGGGGCTGTGCTGGGGCGGGGGAGGCAGCTCTGCGTACCCTGCTCGCAGTATGTCCCCGAGAAGCCGGCCGGGCACAGGCACTTGTTTGCTTTGCACTTCCCACCGTTCAGGCAGGGGTTCCTGAGCAGGCACTGATCCTCAGCGAGCTCGCAGCGACCGCCTGTGGGGAGACAGCCGGGGGTTGTGGGCACAGCCTCTCACTGGGCCTTCCCACACGTGTGAGCACAAACACGTGTACACGCATGCACACTCGCTCCTGCCCCATGTCACGGATCCCGGATCCCCAGGGAGAAGGGACCCCAGCTATGGGGGACCCACCCTGGGCACATCCCTGAGTGGCACCCTATGAGCGGGGATGCCCAGCTCAGGGCCCCTCCTCACTCTAGTGGTGGGGCTGCAATCTGCTGCGAGCCGTCCCTGGGCCCTTGGCAGGGCAGATGGCAGTGCCCCGGTGCACCGAGATGTTCCCAGCCCTGCCTGAGGCATGCCCACCTCGGAAGCCATCCTGGCACAGGCACTGGAACTCGTACTCGCCAGTGGGCATGCAGGTGGCGCCGTGCAGGCAGGGCCTGCGGTCGCAGGGTGAGCTGTCGTAGCACTGGGTGATGCCCCGGCTCTCCAGGAAGCTGTAGGAGATGTCCACCTTCTTCCCATTGATCGACACCTGGGGGAGGGGCAAGGATACGCCATGTCAGCCTCAGTGCCTGGGGCCTCTCTGGGTTTAGCCAGGGGCTCTGGGGCCTGCACTGCCCCAAACTGGCACAGAAGGGCACTTTCAGAGTTGGGTAGAGAACACAGTATATGTGACCCAGGCTGCCCAGGAGCCACTCAGTGCATGACCTGGCCCAAGGCTGCCCCAAGCTGAGCCACCAGCCCCCACGCTGCTAAATAGGGAGGGGTTCGTCTGCCCCCTATGGGGCTGGTGTATGTAAACCACTTCCAGAGTTAATGGCACCACTAGGAATAGAACCCATGAGTCCTGGCTCCCAGCCCACCCCTGCTCACCCCACTAGGCCCCACTCCCTTTCCAGTGCTGGGGATTGAACCCAGGAGTCCTGGCTCCCAGACCGCCACCTCCTCTGACTCCACTCCTTACAGGGCTCAGGAGTGACTCCAGAAGGGTGTGACTCACCTCCCCAATGCAGCCATGGAAGCTGGAGCTGATGCTGGCGGCCGCAGGCAGCGTGATGGATTTGTCCACCCCGCCCAGGTACATGGGCGTGCGGAGGTTGAGCCCCTGGCTTTTCCCCGGGGAGGACCTCTTCACCGGCTTGCTGCTGTCCACCTGCAGGGTGCCATCCTTGTTGATCCGTTCTGCCGAGACTTTGTGCCACTGGCCCAGGGCGAGTGGCTCTGTGCTCCGGAGCACAGCCATGCCTGCGGGAGAGAGTGGTGAGATGGGCGCCGAGCTCAGGGCACGCCCCAGGGGTCTCTCCTTCGCCTGGAGGGCTGGGTAGCTGCAATCTCCCCTGCCAGGGCATGTCAGGGCCTCTCAGGATGGCGGGTGCTTTCAGAGCCCTATGCCCTGCCAAGAGGCATTGCAGGGGCCATGCACAGGAGCCAGTGACAAGGCAGATGGCTCCGAGGTCCTGGATCCCGGGCTACAAAGGTCTGTGTGCTGGGAGGAAAGGGAGCCAGTGCGGTGTGGGGGTTGGGGGGCTGAGGGAATCGGCCATAGCCCAAAGGCAGCCCAAGGCAGCAGCAACTGACCAGCCTTCCCGGAGATGAAACGAGCGTGGTGGGGCAGCGTCCCTCACCCAGCAGGCACCCCCCAGAACAGCGCCCCCCGCAGCTGGCACCAGCAGCCTCCATGCGGATAGCCACAGCAGAGAGGTCACAGAATCTGGATCCTCCTGGTCAAGAGCTGGCCCGGCCCTGCAGCCAGGGGGAGGTGAGGGGAGTGCCAGTGGGTGGGCAGATGCCAACACCCAGCCCTGCCATGGCCCCAGCAGGCACCTTCGCTCAGGGGCGGGTGCTAGTGTCAGCTGCACCCTACTGCCCGGCGCCCTTACCTGAGCCCAGCTCGTAGCGGAACTCCACGTGCCCGCTGGCCACGGCAAGTGACACGAAGTCCTCCACGGGGGCGCCTGAGCCCCCGCTGAACAGGATGAGGCCGTCGGGGGAGAGCGGCTTGAACTCCGCCTCGAGGCGCAGCTCGTAGTGGATGTTGGTGAGGGGCGGGTAGGAGATGAACGAGTCGCTCCCACTGAAGGAAGGGGTGGTCGCCATGACGCCTGTGGAGTGGGGGGGTTACTGAGGATCGCCACTGGCCCCGTCCGCCCTTTGACTGGCAGGGTCCTTCCGACTGGTCCCAGCCAGACCCCCCCGCCCCACTCACCTTCCATGCACGTCTCCCCAGACTTGCCCAGGTGGCAGCGGCAGCGGTAGCCCTGCCCGTCTGCACGGTTAATGCAGGTGGCATCCGGTCCGCAGGCCTCTGGGGGAGACAGGTACAAGAGGGCTCAGTGCCCGGGCAGCACAAGGCTGGGCAGGGACGGCCAGGGGAGTGAAGGGAGGGGGGTCACCAGCAGCCCCCGGATGGGGCATTCTGGCTGCAGCGGGGGTGCCCTTGCTCCACACAGGTGGAGGGCATGGAGCAGCCCATGCGGCGCAGTCAGGCTGTGGCCAGCACCTGTTCCCAGCGTGGCCCCTGTGGCTCCTAGCGCAGTAACCCTGGGAAACCCATTGGACGGGTTGGGCCCGGCTCACATGGACGGGGCAGCTGGGAGGTCCCGGCACTTGTGTGATACCCTGGCCCCTGGCAAAGCTCCTGCTGGGCCAATGATGGTGATAGCACCTCATTGCTGCGCTGCCGTGGGGCAGTACTGTAGCTATGGGGGGATCCCTAGCTGATCTGCCGTGGGGCAGTGCTGTAGTTATGGGGCAGCGGTGCAATGGGGCAGTGCTGTAGCTGTGGGACAGCGGTGCCGGGGGGCAGTGCTGTAGTTATGGGGCAGCGGTGCAATGGCGCAGTGCTGTAGCTGTGGGACAGTGGTGCCGGGGGGCAGTGCTTGAGCTATGGGGCAGCGGTGACATGGGGCAGTGCCAGAGCTATGGGGCAGCGGTGCCGGGGAGCAGTGCTGGAGCTATGGGGCAGTGGTGCCGGGGGGGGCAGTGCTGGAGCTACGGGGCAGTGGTGCCATGGGGCAGTGCTGGAGCTATGGGGCAGCAGTACAATGGGGCAGCGGTGACATGGGGCAGTGCCGGAGCTATGGGGCAGCTGTGTCGGGGGGCAGTGCTGTAGCTATGGGGCAGCAGTGCCATGGGGCAGTGCTGTAGCTGTGGGACAGCAGTGACATGGGGCAGTGCCGGAGCTATGGGGCAGCGGTGCCAGGGGGCAGTGCTGGAGCTATGGGGCAGCGGTGCTGGGGGGCAGTACCTGGGTGGCAATGCAGTGCCTGTGAATGTTCACAGTTGCTCCCCGTGAATTCCTGTGGACAGTGGCACACGTAGCTGCTGCTCTCCGAGTCCCTGCAGACGCCTCCATTCTGGGGAGGAGCAATCAGAGGGTTAGAACTGCAGAGGGGACCGAGCCCTGCCCCCAGCTGCTACTGACATCCCATGACACAAGGAGCGCCCTGGGGCCAGCAACAGCACATGCCATGGGGGAAAGCAGAGCCCCCTAGGGCCAAAGCCCCTCAGTTATACCGGTGCAACCCCAGGGAAGCAGGGGCCCAGCATGTGTCTGAATCGCGCATAAGCTCTGCCCCGAGGGGCCAGGGGTAAGGGAGCGAGTTACCTGACATGGCCGGTCCCGGCACGTGGGACAGTTGGAAACACCATGAGCTTTCAAGTCCAGATCCTTAAAGATCACCTCCTCGCCCTGGACCAGCAGTTGGCGCACACAGCCTGGGGGGACCAAGGGAGCAGGGGCAGTCAGAACAGGCCAGGCAATGGGGCAACAGCAAATATCCAGCCGAGGGGCGGCAGGGGGCCAGGGCGGAGCGCCTGGGGAGCAATGAAGGAAGGAAGGAACCCTGCTGGGCAAGGGGCTCAGAATCCCTCCATCACCATCTCAGGGCGGTGTCTCCACCCACACGCAGGGCTCGCAGCCCGGGCGCCCCGGGGCGGGTGTCGGAGGGCTGCCTGGGGAGCGGGAGTCAGGCCGCCTGCACTCACCCACAAAGCCACTGCTGAGGCCGGATTTGGCGACGGCGATGTAGTCGGGATAGCCGCCAAGGTACAGCTCCTCGTTCAGATCCAGCCCTTGGAATTTACCCTGGGGGGGCACAGAATGATGGGCACAGCAGGTCAGGGCTACCCTCTGTGCCCTCCTCAGTTCCTAGGAGAGCCCCGTGCATTGTGGAGGCACAGCCCCAGCCATCCAGCCTCCCCATATCTTCCCCCGCTAAGCTGCCCCAGGCATATTGCCACTCCGGGGGCCCACACTCCCAGGCTGCAGCAGTGCACCTTGTTGGCCCCACACCATGCAGCCTCCTGAGCGTTCTCTTACCTGGGACGTGCCGTTGACAGGAGGGTGGCTGTCCAGCACCAGGGAGCCCTGGGTGAGGTTCCGGTATAGTCGGACCGTGTGAAACTCCCCAAGTCGGATTGGCGCCGGGTGCCGAATCGTGGCCATGCCTGAGCCGGCGTCAAACCTGCAACATCAAGCATGTTGGAGACAGGGAAGGGAGCAGAGCCGCCTCCCACCCCCCCAGCCCCTGGCACTTCTCAGTGCTCTGCTGCAGCCTGGAGCCTGGCTTCCACACACGGCACTGCTCCAGGATGAGGTGAAGCAGTCCCTGGGCCGCCCATTTCCTGAGCCAGGAGAGGCACTTTATGTGGCTCTCCCCACATAGCCAGTGTCTGCCACACTGCAGATCCTGGGGTGGGGGGCACCATCGGGGCAGCAGGGATTTCAGAGCCACCGACTGGAGCTGGGCGGCCAGTTCACAACCATCTGAATGAGAATTAGGCATCGACTCCATTCGACAGCTCTGCCAAGCGGAGCCGTAGACAGGACGGGGGCCCCGTTCGCTTTGCAGCCTGGATTCAGGAAGGGCTCGGAGCTGGTCGGGTTGGTGCAGGCTGTGGCTGCTCCCGCAGAAGGGCCTGGCTCTGGGGAGGGGCTGGCATCGCCAGGTCTCACCTGAACTCCGGGCGGCCTCCCACCAGACCAAAGGACACGAAGTCAGCGCCGGTGCTCTTCTTCTGCCCATTGTACAGCAGCATCCCTGCCAGAAGCACAAAGGAGCTGAGCTGGGGGGGACGTGAGTGCCACACCCAAGCCAACGAACACCAGGAGCGGGGAGGGTCCAGATCACAGACAGAAGCACCCACTGCTCAGCCCCCATCCCCAGCTCACCACAAGCGACAAGAGACGCTCAGGCCCCGACCACAGCACTGCAGCAGGCTGGAGAGGGGGCAACACCAGAGCACAGCTGAGCAGAGGGGACCTGGCCGGAACAGCCCTGGCCTCATGCCCTTGAGTGGGAATGGAGACTGCTGGGCATTGTGTGTGCCCCTTGGCAGCCCCACCCCTGTCGCAGAGCCCCAATGCAGGGCATCCCCTAGACATCAGCACAGCCGGGGCCCTACTGAGCCCATGACCCGCCAAGGGCTTGGAGCTGCTATGCTGGGCGGGAGCAGGGCACTGGGTGAAGGAGAGGTCCCTGCGCTCTGCTCATGGCTTAGCTGATGGCGAGCGTGCCTGGCGAGAGGTGCTGAGCCGCACTAGGCCTCGGGGTACCCACCGAGCACTGGTGGGGCATATCCTGCTAACGCAGGGGCCAAAGTCTGGAGGGAGTTTGAGCCTCCAAGCCAGGAGAGGGGCTGATGCTGTGGGAGCCCTGGTGCTTCGTGGGCCCCTGGGGTTGGTCAATGTGGGCAGCACCGGGAGGGCAGAGGCAGGTGTTGAACTCTAGCTCCCCCTCATGGCAGAGCCTTTATTCTGCAAGCTTGGAGGAGGGGGCTCCCTGAGCCTGCAGAGGCGGGTGAAGGAGGGGGGGATGCAGGGAAAGTTCTGGGTTTTCATGCCCAGCCAGAGTGGGGCTGCAAAGGGCAGGAAGGCCCAGCCCATGAGCAAGGGAAAGTCCAGCCTCAGGGCAGCCTGGGGCCCCACCAACATCAGTTAAACCCATCCTCTGCAGCTGTCAGCTCCTTTATCAGGGGCCCTTTGGAGCCACGCCCACCATGCATCATTGGTGGGGATGGAGCCAGCAACACAGGGCTCTACCCCTTATGCCAATGGGTTTCATTCACTGACAGCAATAGTAGGCTTTTATCCAGTAACTGTGCAGGCCCCTGAGGGGAGACAAGGCAATCCGTGGAAAGTGTTCCCATAAACAGACTCAGACCATCAGTTCTGCCCACTCCCCAAAGGGCCCCCCCCCCCACCTGGTGCGGGCATGGAGCTGGCAGCACGGATTAGCACAGTAACTCAATGCCAGTAGGAGTGGCTTCAGTCAAGGCGACCTGGGTACCTAGTGTTTTGGGATGATGTCACTTCCTGGAGAGTGACATCTCTGGGACAGGCAGGAAGATGCGCTGGAGGTTAAGTGGCAGCTGTGGCTAGTAGGAGTTAGACACACAAGGGAGCCCGGCTGACCCCCAGCCTGCCCCAGTCACTCAGTTAGTCTGTGCAGGGTTTGCAGGTTTAAGGCACCCTTGGGGTGCATGGGTCCCGTGCCCAGAGGGCCAGCGCTCCTGGCCCCAGGCTGTGGAGGGTTAAGAGCTAATCCCACAGGAGGCTGTAAAGGGCATCAGGCAGCAGAGTGCAGACTTACCTGAGTAGAGAATGAGAGCTAGAGGGGGGGAGGAGAGATGGAAAAGGAGACACATGAGGCAAGAGAGGGACAAGGCGGAGCGAGAAGGGAGGAGAAGGAGAACAGGTAAGTGAAATGAGCCCGGCTCACTCAGACTGCCTGGGAGAGAAGAGGCAGGAGCAGGCGAAAGAAGAAAGTGACCCGTGTGCTACAGGGGCCATTGGGCTACAATCAAAGGCAGGGGCTCGCTGATGCAGTTAGCAGTGGAGAAGCCCCTCACCTCCCCCCTACCCCCACCAGCCCTGTCCTGGCTCAGGGCCCCACCCCTTGCGCCTGCGGGAAGGTGGCGTCCCTGGGTGGGCAGGCCTGTCTGTTTCTCAGATGGACTTGGCTCACCATCAGCAGTGTCTGGCCGGAAGGTGATCTGGATTTCAAACTTCTTGTAGGCGTCCTTGATGGTGGGCAAGGCAAGGAAGGTCTGTGGATTCTGAGTAAAATACGGCACCACCCGCTCTGGAATTGTGGAAGGAGGGAGAGTGGGTCAGTGTGTGACGGAACAGACCCACGTGCCGGGCTGCCAGCGCCCGTTATGAAGAGGAGCCAGGGCCTGGAGCCTTCCCAGCCGGCTCCCAGCTCCCTGCCAGCGCTCAGGTCTGGGATCCTGGCCTGCCAGACCTGAGGGACCTGCGGCTATCACCGGCTTCATGGGAAGAGCTGGGCCACACGGCACCCAGCTCTTGTGGGTGTGCATGGGAGGGGCGATGAGCAGTCACGCGGCTGCCACCTCCACTCTGACGGATCATGGGGACAGAGATGGAGAGATGCCAGAGAGCCTGTTCCCCTGCCATCGAGAGCTGAGAAACCCAGACCCCCGAAGAGCAGCTGGACAGGATGGTGCAGCCCGGCTGGAGGCCTGGTGCTAAGCAGCGATCAGGTTCAGTAACCACGGCCCGGCGGGGCTCGGAACGCCATGGAGGCAGGGTAGTTTCCTCCTAGGAAAAGTGAGTGCCTCGGCCTGCTCAGCAGTGCCCCCACTGGCTGCACACATGGGGCCCAAGGATAGAGCTTCTCAGGGCTGCACGTCTAGGGCTCAGCCTGGTGTCTCTGTCCGATAGGAAGTTCAGTCCCCCGTCGCTCTTGGGTCAGGGTGGGGACTGCACTGTGCATGCCACAGCAGGACGGGGAGGTTACTAAGGTGCCAACCAGTTCTGAAGGGGATCCCGTCACCTTGCCCTCAGCTGGAAGGACACCCTCTGTAACATGGCACCTCCGGGGCGGGGAGGAAGGACAATGGCGGTAATGTGAAGACACCAATGGGGGACATGTCCCTCCCAGCTGCACGGGTCACATCCTGCAGGCGCCAGTGCAGCATGAGCACCCAGCCCAGAATGCTCACCTCGGACTTTGAGCATGGAGAAGGTCGTCACCTTCCCTTGCCTGTTGGATGCCGTGCAGACATAGATCCCGGCATCTTCTGGCTTCACAGATGGAATGGTCAAGACGTTGTTCTCCAGACAAATGTCTTTTGGGAGGTCTCCTTCCAGCTGCAACCAGATGTCAGACCAGGGCATCAGCCACCATCACCCACCCCACCATCACTGATCCACCCATCCGTCCCCCATCCGCCCATCATCCACCCCCCCCCACCTATCCACTCATCCATCCCCCACGTGTCCATCATCCACCCCCCCACCTATCCACCCATTTGTCCCCATCCATCTGTCCCCCATCCACTGACCCACTGTAGCGGGGTGGATACCCGCTCCTGCCCTGGGGGGTTTGGAACAGCCCTGGGAGAGGGCTGTTGCAGGGAGCAGCAGCTACTGGGCTGATTGGGGAAGTAGCTGCAGCTGGGCCACGCCCCAATCAGAGCCCAGCTGGCTGTATAAAGAGGCTGGGAGCCAGGAGCTCAGCAGTCTCTCTCTGCGTTCAGAGAGAGAAGGGCCTGGCTGTAGGGAGCTTGAGACAGGGTGCCTGACTGGAGTAGGGCTGGGGAAAGGCGGAAGAGCTGGGGAGCTCCAGCCTGGAAAGCCCCAGGCTGCGGCCTAGCATTGGGCGAAGGGTACTGGGGGTTGCGGAGGGCAGCCCAGAGATAGGCCAAGGCAGCAGGTCCAAACCCTCCTTGCCAGTGATGAGTAGGCTGATACTGTAGTCTGCCCCAGGCATGGGGCTAGATGGTGACTGGCAGTAGCCTTACACTGAGGTGAGGTGGGATTAGTGGGTGGGGGTTCCCCTGGGAGGGGAGACCCAGTGGGTGTGGGTACAGCCAGGGGGCAGCACCCAGAGCAAGGGGCACCGGGGTCCTGGGAGGGACACAGGGCCCAGTAGAAGTGACAAGGCGGATCACCGTCCTGCAGAGGGTGCTCCGGAGGCTGGGTCGAGCTAATTCCCCGAGAGACCAGCAGGAGGCACTGCAGGGGTGAGTCCGACCCCCTTACACCCACCCATCATCCACCCCACCCACCAATCCACCCATCCGTCCCCCATCCATCCAACATTACCCCCCCACTTATCCACCCATCTGTCCCCTATCCACCCATCAACCACCCCCTACCGATCCACTGACCCATCTGTCCATCATCCACACCCCCACCTATCTACCCATGCATCCCCCATCCACTGATCTATCTACCCATCATCCACCCCTCAATCTATCCATCCATCTGTCCCCCTTCCACCCCACCTATCCACCCATCCATCTGTCCCTCATCCATGCCCCCACCTATCCATTCCCAATCCACTGACCCATCCCTCCCCCATCCACCCATTATTAATCCCCCCACCTATCTACCTGTCCATCCACCATCTATCCATCCCTCCATTCACTCATCTGTCTGTCCATCTGTCATCCACCCTTCCACTCATTACCTGTTCACCCACCTCTCCATCTATGCATCCACACATCTACCTACTCCTCCATTCCCCCTCGGTTCCATGCCCACCCCTCTGGGCTGAGCAGTGGCATCACTGACACCAGAGAATTCTCACAAGAGGGGCGCACCCTGCTGCCATCCCCACCGCACATTCCCCCAGCTTGCTGGTGAAGCAGAGAGCGGTTGTCACTGGCAAGCCCAGGCTGCCCTCCTCTCTCCTTGCTCGCTGGGAGAGTGCCAGGGGAGTAACTGCCCAGGGCTGGAGGGCGGGGGGCATTCCCTAGAGATCAGTGATTTACCTTGGTCCACTTGATCTCTGGGACGGGGAAGCCGGACGCCAGGCACGGGAATACTGCCCTCGACCCCATGGTGACCTCCTTGACCTCCGGCTGAGCTGCGATCTGGGGGATGGCTGCAGTGAAGGAACACATTCTTCAGGCCTCCGTGAGTGCAGGGCCCAGCCGCCAACCCACCCACAGCCCATCCGATGTGCGGGGATGCGTCACCCTTTGCTCTGCGGGCCACTCGCACAGGGCCCCGTGACCCCCAGTGACGGGCACTGGTGTAGTGCATGTGCCACCGTGAGAGCCCCCTTCCCCCCCGTGGTGCAAGGGGAGGTGCTGTGGGACGGGGCGCCCCCAGCAGGGGAACAGGCACTTACACTGCACGTGCAGGATGACGTTGGACTGCACGGTGCCCACGTCGTTGGTGGCGGTGCAGCGGTACTGCCCTGCGTCCGATTGCTCCACCCGCTCGATCTTCACCATCCCACCGCTGACGACCACCTCGGGGCGAATGCGGCTGCCCACCTTGCTCCAGGTGATATGTGCCTTGGGGTCCCCGATGGCCAGGCACTCGAACTCCACCGCTGCGCCCACCAGCACTGACTGCACCGAGGTGCGCACGTTGATCATCACCTTGGGCAGAGCTGGGTGGGGCAGATGGCAGAGGTGAGCGAGGGGGCACAGAGGGCACGAACATGGGAGCAGTGTTAAGCTCTAGGGCCAGCCTCCCACACAGCAGCTGTGCCGAGGGGAGGGCAAGGAGGAACACTCGGCCTCTCTTCCAGAGCAGCGGTGGCTAGTGTGGAGGCTGCGTGGCCAGCTCGGTCCCATTCATCTGGCAGGGTCTCCCCCTACCTGTGCCAGGGCCCCTGCTTACCCTGGATCACCAGCCTTGCGCTGTCCTGGGCCTGCCCGGAGGGGCTGCTTACTCGGCAGGTGTAAACTCCCTGGCAACCACGATCCAAGTTCTGGATTCTGCAGTGAAACAGCAAAGAGATGGACTGGCTCCCACATACCCTGAGGCCCCTTTGCCCCCCCCGCGGTGCCCCCCCGCCCGGCCCCCCACGCCCCGAGGGGTTTGCCCCCCCGGTGCCCCCCCCCCCCCCCCCCCGGGTCTGGTATCCAGCCGCAGACAGCGGCTTATCCCTGAGGCTCTGGGGGTGGATCTGCCCCACATGGCACACCCAGCCAACCACACAACGCCGGGAAGGCAGGGATGGGCATTCCCACCTGATCCTTGAGGCAATCAGCTCATGCCCTGAAGGAGGCCTGGGAGGAGAGTCCTGAACTCTGCTGTTAGGGGGGGTGGGCAGGGGGTCGAGCCCCATGAACCCCATCCCCAAGAGCACTAGCTGCCCCCGTCTCAGCAGAGATGCCCGGGGCTGATGGGGGCAGCCCCTCTACAGGGCAAGGGGGTGAATCCCACTGGTTACGTTCCTGGGCACGCCCCAGAGAGGGCACAGACCTGCGTGCTCCTGCCCCTGCTCCTCCTTACCGCAGCACCCCGTTCCGCACGCTGTGGCTGGCGGGCAGTTCCCCATCCTCCCTGAACCACTCGATCCGCGCCCGGGCGTCTCCGGTGACGGAGCAGGTGAACTCGGCCGTGCCGCCCACGCCCTTCACGTCCGTCTGGGGTGTGACTCGCACGGTCGGGGAGGCGCTGGGGGCCGATCCTGTGGGGGCAGAGGCACAGAGGTACCAGCTACAGCCACCCAACCCCCATCCCCGGGGGAGCTGCACGTGCTGGAGCCAACAGGGTGAGCTCAAGGGGACTTGCCGAACCACTGCCCGACGGCCCACCCCCTCCAGCCTGCGCCACTGGCACCTAAGGCAGCCCCCACAGCGCTTGGCTGCTGGAATCCACCATGACTCCCCGCCGCCTACGAAGGCAGTGTCCCCCCTGCCCAACCACCAACAGGGCTGGCACCATTCGTCTCTCCTGCCAGCTGGGTCAGCAGCATCCCCTCCCCCAAACAGGGCTTGCGTCGCCTCTCCCCGCCTGACCTCCAGCGGGGCCGGCAGCATCCCTCGCACACAACCCCCAATGGGGCTAGAGCAGCATTGCCACCGCCTTCTTCAGCCTCCCCAGGGAAAACCCCTCTCTGATTGCCCCCCCGGGTACCCGGCATGGGCATGGGCATGGGCAGAAAAGCCCCCAGCTGCAGAAGGGGCTGAGCTGACGTGGGGACGCTGGGCATGGGCAGAACCTGGAGGCTCCGTGGGTCCGGCAGCTGCAGAGCCCATGCAGGGGGTCAGCTGGCCCTGGTGCTGTGCCCGGGGACTGGCAACACTCTGCCTGCCCTGCACTGTGCCAATTGGAGCAAAGCCATAACGTGCCCTTGTTCACCCACTCCTAAGTCTGTGACCAACCTTGGGACTTGCCCCGCCCCCACCCCGCCATCCCCTCCCCAGGGCCGCCCTACCACCCCCTCCCCGCCGGGGCTGCCCTGCCCCCACCCTGCCACGCCCTCTCCAGGGCCGCCCCACCACCTGCTCCCCGCTGGGGCTACCCCGCCACCCCCTCCACGCCGGGGCTGCCACGTCCTCCACAGGGCCGCCCCGCCATCCGCTCCCCGCCGGGACTGCCCCTCCTCCACCCTGCTAACCCCTCCCCTCTGGGGCCATCCCGCCCCCACCCTGCCATGTCCTCCCCAAGGCCACACCGCCATCCCCTCCCCGCTGGGACTGCACGTCCCCCACCCTGCACCACCCACTACCCGGGGTCACCCCCCCCCAGGGACCACCCCACTGTCACCCCATCCCTCTCTCCTTGTGGGAGCATTACTGTGGCCCCATCCCCACCCTCTCTCCAGGGCTGGCTCCCCCAGTGCTGGGCCCTGCCTGTGCCCTCTGCCCCGATACTCACCCTGGACGCTGACCTGGGCGAAGGTCTCTGCCGAGCCCACCCTGTTGCTGACAAGGCAGCGATAGGTCCCCGAGTCCTCGGGCACAGTGGGGCGGATGTGCAGGGCACTCTCCCGCAGGACGGCGTTGCTGGACAGGCTGCCATTGGCCTTGCTCCATTGGTAGTGCAGGGGTGGTGTGCCGTGGGCCAGGCACTGCAGCTGCACCGCCTCGCCCGCTGACACCGAGACCTCCTCGGGCAGGCTGGTAGCGTAGGGGGGTGCTGGGGGGGCAGAGAGGCACAGGGGGCATTAGGGGATCAGCCCAGTGCTGCCTGCAACAGGCTCTCTTGGTGGTGTCTGCTCTACGCTTTGTGTCTGGGGCCCCACCTGCTCCCACTGCGGCCCCCTGGTGCCCCCCTCCCCCAGGGCCACCGCAGCCGTGAATCCATCATGCCCCTGCCCTGCGTCGGGACAGAAAGGCCTGAGCTGGAGCCCATGGGCCTGCCTGGCTGTGGCACCATCTCCCCCGGGGATGGGGGCCCCATGGCTTGGGCCATTGAACGCTGCCATGGAGCAGGCAAAGCCAGCAGGAGGGATGGGGGCTGAGCAGGTCTCTACCCCCAGCACCCCTGGTTCAGAGTCTCCCACTTTTGGGCCCCACTTTGCCCAACCAGGGCGGCTGCCCAGATATCGCATGGGGCACATAGTGATCAGTGCACTGCCCCCTGCTGGCAGCCCTGTGTCACTCCACGAGACCTGCAGGGAAATGGGGAGGGAATAGCAGGGTGGAGGGAGCCACTCCCCCAGTCCCTGCATTTACCAGGCCTGACTGGGCAGTGATCAGTGCTAGCTCTGAGCGAGAGCCTGGTGCCCAAATGAAACACCCGCTCCACCCCATGCCTGGAGCAGGGAGCCCTAGGGCACAAGGGGCCGCAGTTTGCAGGCAGGGACTTCACACATTTCAGCCACTAGAGCCCCATGGCACCAGCTCCCCATCTTTCACCCTGCCCCTTCCCCCGTGGCATGCGCCGGCGAGCCAGCCCACACCCCCCCCCCAACTCTGCCACCAACTGACATGGCACAGAAATACAGGGCCTGAGGTCAGAGGTGAAGTGCCAGCTGTCCGGGCGTGGGGCTGACCCCGTGGCGTGGGAGCTCCTTACTCTCCACGTCCAGTGTGATGAAGGCCTCGGTGAAGCCGGCAGCATTGCTGGCGTTGCAGATGTACTGGCCTGAGTCCTGCTGGGCCACGCGGGGGATGAGCAGAGTGTTATTCACCACCCGATGCTGCCAGGGCAGCGGGGCCCTCAGCTTGGACCACTGGATGGTGGGAGGGGGGTCACCTGCGGGGACAAAGAGACAGTGAAGTGCTGGCGAGACAGGTCCAGGGCCAGGCCGGGCAAGCCGTCCACACTGCTCCTGAGGGATGCCCGTCTGGTCCAGATTGGAGGGTGGCTAGAGGGGTGTGAGGCTAGCTAGGGCCTGGGCACTGGGCAGATGCCCCTAACTTAACTCCTACATACAGTGCTAATGGATGGTTCCCTTCGTCTGCCTCAGACTGCCGCTGGGGGAGAGACCTCCTTTGCCCTCCCCACATCACGGGGCTGCCACAAGAACTCTCATCCCCTTGCTGATCTGGGGCCCACCCCATGGACCTGGATGGCATTGCACAGCCATGGAGCTGCAGGAACTGTTCCCAGCTAGGCTTAATGTTCCCAGCTTCCCTCCTGGCCAGGGCGAGGAGCGTAGGGCTAGGCAACAAAGTATTGCTGAAAATGTACCTGGTTGGGCAGAATGCAACGTTTTACAGTTTCAATGGATATCATCGACGGGTCATGTTAAGCATTGCTTTCAATTTGTATCCATAGACATTTTCACAGTTGTGGAAAAATATGGGGGGGGGGTGTCAGACAATGTGGGGGTCAGAGAATAACTATTTAATGACAGTTGACGCTGAGACTCAAAAAGTCAATGCTTTATAACTGTTAAAACACAAATTGTCAACGTCATGTGTCAAAACAAAGTGCACAGCCTGAAATCCAACTCTAGTTCTCAAGCAGCAGTTTTCTCACTTTGCCTAGCTGTGAATTTCAATTATTATTGATGGAAATATTTGTGTGTGTGTGTTTGTGTGTGTCTGTGTCTCTATGTTTGTGTATCTGTGTCTCCATATGTGTGTATATTGTGAATTTACTGATATTTACTGATAAAAATCTACTCCTTCCAAGCCTAAATATAACAAAATTACTAGCAGATAAAGTAAGTGCTCACGAAGTGAATGTACGTAATCCTTCTGTAACCTGTCTTGGCAGCTGGCTTGAGCTTTGGCTTGGACTACTAAAATCACAAGTTATACTGTAGTAATAAAACCATAAAAAGGGATAAAGTAAAAAAAATTGTTACAGAAAAAATACTGTTAATTTAATAGCAAAGGAATGTACTACTGGAGACACAAATCATCTTGTGGAACCCATTCCATTTAAAATGCACTCGGCCGCACAGAGCAAATGGAATGAATTGCTTAAGACACTTGGTGAAACCCCAGTTAAGCTCTTTTAAGTAGGTCAAAGGTGTTGTGATTCTTTGTAGAGGGGAACGTGAAGGAGGATGGAAAAGTAACAGTCAAAACGATTGACCGCATGGTAAACGTGCCATGGGAAGTGGACTAACTGCAAATTGTCCTGTGAGATAAACAAGTAACATAAAAACCCTGCAGACTGTAAAGAAATGGGCCCTGTGGACGCAGACAGGCCCGGTACCCTACTTAGGCAGCTTTGCCTTTCCGTACCCAGCCTGTCAGATCTGTAGTTCAGGCAACTTGATTGAACAGCCCGAGTGGAGCTGTCTGTTCCACTCTTCTCATTCAGTGGCATAACCCACCTTCCACAATGCAGGGAGAATTCAGCACTCTCGCCAGGGTCTGGCTTTCCCCCTGGAAGCCCACCCATCTCAGCCAGCTCCCCGCCGGGATTGCTAGCAGTGGTTCCAGCAGGTGTTCACTGGCTCTGGGCTCACACGGGTTTTGTGGTCGGATGTGTGATGGGTGGGGAGGTGCCAACCGCAGAGCGGTGCCCACGGAGCATTGCCTCAAAGAGATGAGGGTCCCCCAACCCCGCCCTCTGGCTGCCCTTTGTGGTCTCCCACCTGCAGATGGAGCAGGCCTGACCCCGTTTAGCTGCCAGGTCTGAGACTCAGACCAGGGAGGGGGAATGGGAAGGCCAAGCAGGGGCTGGCAGAACAGGAGGCATGGATATCTGCCCCAAATCAGGTGGGCCCCACCCCAGCCTTCCCATGGAGCCTCTCTCAAACTCCCATCCCTTCTTGGGGCTCTGGCTGCAGGCTGCTCCCCAGCTCAGCCCTATGAGCGGGCAGCGCCAGGGAAGCCAGCGGCCCTGCCTGGCACACACGTACCTATAGCGGAGCACTGGAGGGTCGCGGTTTCTCCAGCTACCACTGTCAGTGTCGGCTTCACTGTGATTTCAGGGGCGCCGGGCTTTCCGTGGGCAGCTTCCACGCTCACCTCCACTTGGACCTGTGCAGAGCCGATGGAGTTCTGGGCCATGCAAATGTAGGTGCCAGCATCTTCAGGCTTGGCTGCCGAGATCTGGGGGTAGAGAGACAGCATCGGGCAGCCTAAGGCCTGTGGGGTGTGACACAGCCACATCCCCCCTCCAGTCCCCCAAAGGCTGAGCGACAGGAGTGATGTTAGGTAGCACTAGGTCCTGCTGTAGGGGGCGCAGCCGTGTCTGTTGCAGCTGTGCCAGGCGAGCTGGCCGGGGGTGCAGCACTGTGCACTGCTGACAGCAAGGCAGCAGCCCCTTCCGCATCTGCCAAGCCCAGGGCAGGATTTAGGGGCACCTGCGTGGGGACCCAGGCTGTGGGAGCCAGAGAGAAACCCAGGGTCCGTCTGTGCCCAGCAGCCGCGAGGAAGGACGAGCCAGGTCCCTGTCCCAGTGCAATCCAGGCAGACAGCTCAGTCACAATGGGGAGGCCAGGCTGGCTGCCCCCCTGGCTCAGAGCGGGCACTGAACTGCCCCATGCCCCATCAGGGACTGGCAGGGGTGGTTCCTTTGCTCAGCTCCTGCTATGGTTGGCTGAGAAAGGGACTTCTGCTGCCTGGCAGGACAGGACTGGACTGTGGTGCAGCCATGGGCGGATCCCCTGGTGACCCCGAGAGCCCCATGGTCCACGTGGACAGGATAAAGGCCAAGTTGCCTGTGCCATGGTGTGGGGCCCCCTTCCCCTGGCCCCAGAGCCCAGCTTACCTGCAGCACTGCTTGGCTCTCCAGGGGCAACAACTTCTGGTGCTCCATTTTCTGCCTCATGCCCAAGCGGCTCCAGCGAACAAGTGGGCGTGGGTCGCCCATGCCAAGGCAATCCAGGCTGATGGACTTGCCTGCCTTCACCGTCACGGGGCCCTTGGGCATCACGGACACTGTAGGAGAGCCTAGGAGGGTGCGGGTGGGGTGGGGTGAGGGCACAGCCTGCCAGCCAGAGCTGCTAGAAATCCTCATGGAGCAGCTGGGAGCTGGCCACGGCAGACTGCAAGGGGCAGCACGAAGATGGCCCCAAGAGCCTTCAAGGAGCAGCTGGGCAGGGGTGTGGAGCCCACGTGGGGTGTGCCCAGGCAGTCCGGCATAAGCCCTGAGCATTGAGGGGCATCTGGGGTGGGCTGGGGTGGGGGGCCCGACAAGGACATGCAATCCAGGCTGGGAGGCTGTGGGGGGTTAAACCTGCCCCTCCCCAAAGGCCCCCCCATCCCTGCCCATGGGCTCCCCGGCTCGAGGAATATCCCCAGGCTCCACTGGCTCCAGGGCAAGAGACCAGGGACAGCCCAAGTGCACCTGTGCCAGCCCCATTGCCAGAGCAAGGCAGCCTAGGCAGGGTTCCAGTCCTGGAGCAGCAGCTCAGGTTGGCCCCACCACCGAGACCCTCAGGGCCCACCCGGGGCAGCTGAGGTGGACCAATGTGATACAGTGACAATGCTGGGGTGCCAGCCAGCGGCTCTCGGGGGCCAGTCAGTGAGCTAGGAACCCAGGCTGGGTATCCCAACTGCCTGTCCCCAGCGCTGCCCCCCTCTTGTTCTCGTGGCTTCTCACCTTGCACCATTAAGTTAACCACGCTGTTGGCTACTCCGTAGCGGTTGGAGGCCACACAGCGATAGGCCCCCTGGTTGCTGGGGCGAGCCCTGGAGATGGTGATCACTGAGCCATTGGGGCTGATCTTCACATTGTCTGCAGGGGGACAGACACAGGTGAACAAACAGCTGATCTCGCCCCTGGGGCCAGGAGCTCTTGCTGAAAACCCAGATTCCTAACACTCGAAACACTGACAGCGCCCCCTGCTGGGAGAGGCCAGGACTGGAGTAGCTGGGAGCTGCCCCCCCCACCCGAACACCCAGGCTCCTGCGCTATCCTACCGCGCCTCCTGTTGGCACAGCCTGGGACTGGAGGGACTGAGCTGCCCCAGGCTGTTTGCTCTCACTCTAGTGCGAGCCCAGGGAGCCGGACCCATGGCTAGAGCAGGGTGGGCTGTTTTCGCTCACACCCCAGATCTGCAGAGCCTAACGGGCGTCCAGGCCCCATGGCCGCACACAGGCAGGGAGCACGACACAGGCTCTGCAGACGGCTGCTGCAGTGGAGAGGGACAATACCCATGGCTGCCCAGCATCCTGGCCAGGGGATGGGAGTGCCCCACAGGAGACCAGGGGCTGTGGGTCTGGGGGAGCAGGGCTAGCGCTCATGGGATCTCGGAGAGAAGTGGGGGCAGAAAGAGGACAACAAGGGACACTGGTGGAGGGGGGATATCGGGCCCTGTATGGCGGGGGGTGGGGGTACTGTACCCAGGGCACTGGGAGGGGACATCGGCAGCAGTGAACCATTGCGCGGTTCCAGGGAAGCCGGCTGGAGCTGGTGTGAGAAGGAGCCGCTCTGTACCTTGCAGTTGCTGCTTCGGGGCCATCTTCCAGGTGATATTGATGGGCCGGGCGCCACCGTGGATGCGGCACTTGAAGGTGGCATCCTCGTCCTGGCGCACAGCAGTGCTGTGCGGCTCGATGGAGATGATGGGGCTCTGCAGACCTGCCAGGCAGGGAAGAGAAATGGGGTTAGAGCCGTGACACCCAAACCTCAGGGGTTCAGGAGCCAAATTAGCCATCAGCGTTACCCCAAAAGCCCCAGTCATGTGACGCCATCAGTTCATTTCCTAGAGCCCTAGAGATTCCGATTGAAACAGTCTGATGGGAAATTATCTCGATCTCATTCGCGCAGCAAAATGACTAACCGAGTATTATTATTTTATCAACTGCAATTGGTTAATAACAGAGTAACAGTGCCCTGCTTGCTTACTAATGAAATCAGGGTTTTAATATGTGCTGCAAAGAGCCACAGGAAACACCTTGAGCCGCTTGCGGCTCATGAGCTGTGTGAGTGTCACTGGTTAGACTATCCCTGGGGAGCCCCTGAGCCCCGGCCCTAGGACCACCCACCTATCAGCAGGCCAGACAGACTTACGGTAGGAGGAGCTGGTGCCAGAGGGGACGCTCACAGTGATGGAGGCCTCGCGGGGGCCGGCGCTGGTGCTGACACGGCAGACGTATTCGCCTGAGTCGGCTGCAGAGACCTGGAGCAGCCGCAGGCGGGAGCCGGAGACCTGGCGGGGAGAGCCCAGGAGTCGGAGAGAAAAGGCTGAAGCGTCTGTCTGCAGCCAACCCCTGGGAAAGTCTGATCCCACTTCCGACAGCCGCTGTGGGGACAGAGCCATGGCTACCCCCAGCCCACACCCTCCCCATGCTGCCGGGCTCAGCCACGGGGTGGCCCGGTCAGGGAGTGCTCCCCCATTCACTGGCAACTGTCTATCGTACCTGGATTCCCCAACCCCAGCTGACAGCCGGGCCACCGACGGAGCCCTGCTGGCCCCGGCCACGGCTCTGTGGAGACTGAAGCAGCAGCTCCCTCTGTCCCCCAGGACAAATCAATCCAGGGAAGATCCCCCCATACACCCCAGGAAAAAGAAAGAAAGTGCCCCAGGGCACTGGGCTGCTTCCTACCTGGTGACTGGCCAGCAGGGAGCCCCCTCGCTTGTACCACGTGACTGTGGCTGGCGCCTGGCCCGCGACAAGGCAGTTCAGATCCAGGGTCTGTCCCTCGGCGATGGAGGATGAGGAAGACTCGATCCGGATGGGGGGCACCATGCCCGAAGCTGGAGGAGCCGTGGGAGATGAGGGTTAGAGCTGGGGGAGAGGTCCTCTCACACAGCAGAGGAATTGGAGATAGGAACCGGCTGCCAAAGCAGCTAGTCCACCCCCAGCCCCTGCGGCCGGAGCAGGAGCCCCTCAGCCCAGACGGCCTGGTGCAGGCAGCTTTGAAAAGACCCAGGCAAGGGGCTCCCAGCCCTTCCATGGGAACTGTACCGCAGCCTTGATTCTGCTGGCAGGTGATGTGTTCGGCTACAGGATCCCTGACTCAGTTCCACCCTGCCACTCCCAGCGCCCCGCGAAGGGTGCACCCTGCAAGCGAAGGACCAGACCCAGCTAAGGCTGGGCAAGGCAGCTCACGCTCCCCTGCTCAGGGCTCCAGCAGGGGCTTTCAGTCCCAGCATCACCCCACTGTGCTGGAGAGGGGTCCCTGCATGCTGCTCCCCCCACCCGCCTGAGCCTGCCAAAGTTACCAAGAACCCCCGCCCGCCGCATTGGAGCAGAATCCCAGCCTCCCCCTCTGCCCGGACACTCCCATACTGCGTTTCCACCCTGCCTGTTTCCTGTGCTCTGCCCTGCAGTGCCAACCCGTCTCCTCCAGCCCCTCCTGGCAAGAGCTCAGAGCACTTTGCAGACGAAGGTTCACAACCCCTTGGGGCTGGCCAGGATCATCACCCCCTTCAGCAGGTGGGGAAACTGAGGCAGCGAGAGGGGAAGGCTTGCCCATGGCCATGTAGATAATCTATGGCAGAGGAGGGATTCGAACCCAGGACAGCCTGGCTCCTAGTATTCCAAAAGTCAGACACTGCTGCTTGTGGGCAGGGAGCTGTGTGGGAGTCGGCCTGGGAGCAGATCACTCATCTCCCATCTCAGGCACCAGCCCCGAGTTAGGGCATGTCCAGTCCTGGCTCCCCAAAGCCCACCCACCTGTAGAAAGGCTGGCGGAATTTGGTCCCAGAGGACTGGCTACCTGCCAGAGAGGCCATGGCCCCCTGGGGCAGCGACAGTAGGGGCACAGCCCTGCCTCTCCTGGGACGCAGGTAGCATGTCAGCGCAGGCCGGGCAGACTTACAGTAGGATGGGCCGGTGCTGTCCTCGATGGTGATGACAAGAGCTGCCTCCTGGGTGACGGCGCCGGTACTGACGCGGCAGACGTACTCGCCCGAGTCGGCCGCCGAAACCTGGGGGATGCGCAGGCGGGAGCCGGAGACCTGGCAGGGAGAGGGTCCGTGACAGACCAGGACAAACATAGATTCATAGATTCCAAGGCCATTGTGATCACTTAGCCTGTCCCCCTGGGTAGCCCAGGCCATGAGACCTGTCCACAATAAATCCTAGAGCAGAGCTTCTAGAAAAACATCCCATCTTGTTTTACAAATGGCCAGTGCTGGAGAATCCACCACGACCCTGGTCAATTGTTCTAGTGGTTAATTGCTCTCGCTATCCACCTTATTTCCAGTCTGAATGTGCCGAGCTTCAACTCCCAGCCATTGGATCAGGTCAGACCTTTCGCTGCTAGACTGAAGAGCCCGTTATTAAATGCTTGTTCTCTGTGTAAATACCTACAGACTGTGATCGAGTCACCCCTCAACCTTCTCTTTGTGAAGCAAAATAAATTGAGCTTCTTGAATCTATCACTATAAATTGTGTTTTCTAACCCTTTAATCCTTCTTGTGGCTCTTTTCTGAAGCCTCTCCAATGTATCAACATCCTTCTTGAAATGTGGGCACCAGAACTGGAGCCAGGATGCCAGCAGTGGTCACACCAGTGCCAAGCACAGAGATAAAATAACCTCTCTGCTCCTACTCGAGTTTCCCCTGTTTATGCATCCCAGGATCACATTAGCTCTTTTGACCACAGCGTCGCACGGGGAGCTCATGTTCAGCTGGTTATCCATCATGGTCCCCGCTGCTCCCCAGGCTAGAGTCCCCCACCCTGTAAGTGTGGCCAGCATTCATTGTTCCTGGAGGAATACATTTACATTTAACCAGATTAAAATGCATGTTGTTTGCTTGCGCCCAGTTTACCAAGTGATCCAGACTGCTTTGTGTCAGTGACCTGGCCTCTTCTTATTTACCACTCCCCCGATATTTGTGTCAGCTGCAAACAAGTAGCAGCCTGGCCTGATTCCCAGAGTCCGCAGCCAGTCCTGAGGCCCCCTGCTCCCAGGGTGGGGTGCGGTGGTAGGAAGAGCTGGCATCTGCTGCCATTGCTGCTTCCCTAAGCATCCCACTGCTGCTTTGATTCCCTCGAGCGGAGCGACTCAGTCGCTTGTCTCCCCACTCTTGGCAAAGCCCAGAAGCCCGTCTCCCTGCCTGGGGCAGCTCCTCTGTCTGGGAGCCTCCAGACACAGCCCTCCCAGGAGCAGGACCCAAGGAAACCAACCTGGAGCTCAGCCCAGCTCCCTGCTTGCTGCCATACCTGGTGACTGTCTGGCAGAGCGCCCCCCCGCTTGTACCACGTGACTCTGGGCTGTGCCTGGCCCGCGACGAGGCAGTTCAGGTCCAAGGTCTGTCCCTCCGCGATGGAGGATGAGGAAGACTCAATCCGGACAGGGGGCGCCATGCCCGAGGCTGGAAGAGCCGAGGAGGAAGGTTACGCCGGGTGCAACATTGCATCACGGTGCCAAGGAGCAAAAGCAGCATCGTCCATCTCCCTAGGCAGGGGCCAAGCCATGGCAGGAAGGTTCCCAGGGCAACGCCCAGCTCCAAAGGACTTCACGCTAGGCCCCCCCAGGTGATTGGACCCCCGCCATGCAGCCAGCGCGCCCTTGTTCTTTCCTTGGTCCTATCGCCCCCGGCTCCCCTCCTTGTGCAGTCCCCAGCACTCAGAGCCCGGGGAGCATCCCTCATGGACCCTGCCCCACATGGCTAACCCAGCACTGGAGCAGGGTCTCCCACAATGCACTGGGGTTAGCCAAAGTGGATTCCAATACCTGCCCTAGGATTATAGCGCCCACCTGGCCCCATCCCTCAGCCCACAGTGCCCACCTCACTACCCCGGGGGTCTCCGATCCCCATGGGCTCCTGGCCTGTGTACCCCTATGTGACGCCCCTGCTATGCCTGGAGCCAGGCCAGGGCCCTGGAGATGGGCAGGATACAATCTGGGAGGGGGTATACAATCTAGCGCTGGGTCCATGCCCCTTGCCTGTGTGGGCCCCTGGCACTGAGTCCCATTCCCATTGGCCCCTCCACATGTGGGCCCCACCCTGCCCAGACGTACGGTACGAGGAGCCAGCACTGCGGGGGATGGTGACGATGACGGAGGCCTCCAAGGGGCCAGCGCCATTGCTGACACGGCAGATGTACTCGCCCGAGTCGGCAACTGAGACCTGGGGGATGCGCAGGCGGGAGCCGGAGACCTGGCGGGGAGAGAGGGCAGAGGCCATGAGGCATTGAGGAGAGCTGTGCTCGGCAGGCAGGGGCCCATGGGGAGCTGGACTCCTTGGGAAAGCCAGCCCTGCCTGTGGGACAAGCCCTTACAAGGCTGGCACGGACTGTCTCCGACCTCCACCGCCTCCCAGCCCCCATGCAGCCCTTGTGGCTCCTCCTGGGGTAGGACTGGAGACACCACGGACTTTTCCAGGCATTTGGTTTCCAAAGCATTTGCTGCCTATTGTGCGTTTCATTGTCCAAGGGCATCAACCTTCTCCCCGTCGCCGCCCCAGCCAGGAAATCCCATGGGTCTGCTGCTCCCAGGAGCATGGGGGAATTTGTGGGCCACGGCCATCAATTCCCAGCCACCTGGAGCCCCCGTACCTGGCTACTGGCTGGCAGGGAGTCCCCTCGCCTGTACCACGTGACTCTGGGCTGCGCCTGGCCTGCGACCATGCAGTTCAGGTCCAAGGTCTGTCCCTCGGCAATGGACGCGGAAGAGGTCTCAATCCTCACTGGGGGGGTGACGCCCACAGCTGGAAGGGGAGCAGAGGCTCAGCACAGAGAGCTCAGAGATGGCGAAGGACTCAACGTGCCCTGCCAAGCGTTGATCACCCCGCAGGGCGCATGAGGCTACAGCCCAGGCTGGGACATCAGCCAGCTCCCTCCTGCTTCCCGGACCATCCCTGTGCCCGCAGCCGAGCCCAGGCCACACTCACAGTAGGAGGAGCCGGCACCGCCCTGGATGGTGACGATGAGCGAGGTCTCCTGGGTGATGGCGCCAGTACTGACGCGGCAGATGTACTCGCCTGAGTCGGCCGCCGAGACCTGGAGGATGCGCAAGCGCGAGCCGGAGACCTGGCGGGCAGCGAATCACATGGAGAAAGGGTCCGTGAGAAGAGGGAGTGCATGGGGAGCTGGCGAGGTCAGTGATCCCTCCACTCCCTTACCCCCCCTTTGGCCCCGGGTAACCCTTCCCCAGGCTCTGCGCTGTGGGGTGGGGCTGTTCCCGCTGGGTCTCCTGAGCAGGACTGCTCAGCCCTGCTCCCTTGAGCTCTCCTGGCCCAGGGGGCCCCTCCTCCTCTCACTGTATCTCCGCTCCCCAAGACACCGGAGCCAAGCCCCGCTGCCCGGTCGGGAGGAGACGGTATCTCAGGAACCCCCGGGACAAGACTCCCCTCCTGGGAGGGCAAAGGGAGTCCAAGGCCCAGGAAACGCCCTCTGGAAATGCTGCCAGGCCCCCCATGTCTCCTACCTGGTGGCTGGCCGGCAGGGAGCCCCCCCGCTTGTGCCATGTGACTCTGGGCTGCACCTGGCCCGCAACGAGGCAGTTCAGGTCCAAGGTCTGTCCCTCGGCGACAGAGGACGAGGAAGACTCAATCCTCACTGGTGGGGTGACGCCTGAGGCTGGAGGGGCCAAGGGCAGAGGGTTGGAGCTGTGGGATCCCTCCCATGGAGAAGAGATGGAGCAGAGCTGTGGGGGCAGGTCTCCCAGGGCTGGGGCCGGATCAGCACTGGCAGGGAGCTCCTGAATGCCGTCTGGTCTAGTTCAGGGCTCCAGCCGCTTCCCCAGGGGCCTGTCCCACCACCCACAGACCTCGCCCTTTGGGAGCTCAAAGCCACCCCATCAATTCTAGTCACCCTGTTGGGGGGCTGAGATCTCCCTTTGGATGGCAGCACCTGCGGGTGCTCAGGGTTGCCCGAGGCACATCCCCAGAGGGCACCGAGCTTCCTCCGCCCTGGGGAAGAGGAGAGCACGGTGGCCACACACACAACTCACGATAGGAGATACTGCTGCTCTGCTGGATGGTGACGATGACAGAGGCCTCCTTGGTGCCGGCGCGGCAGACATACTCGCCCGAGTCAGCCGCCGAGACCTGGACCAGCCGCAGGTGTGAGCCGGAGAGCTGGGGGGCGGGTCACGGAGAGCCCGGAGTCAGAGAGGGAAAGCCAGGTCGCTGTCCTCTGACCCCTGCATCACACAGCACGGGGCTGCCTGCCTGGCCTTGCGCCTGCTGCTCCCAGATCCTCTGCTGGTCAGCTGGCAGAGCAGGACTCACCCTCCTATCCATGTACGCTCCCAGCCCCCAACTCCTCTGCCGCCAGCGATGAGAACGCCGCTCCCGGCTCTGCCCTTTCGACTAGGGGTCCTGCCACTGCACTGGGACCCCCGCGGAGCCAGCCCGCAGCAGGACAGAGCTGCCATTTTCCCCCAATAGCCACATCCTTCAGACCCAGGGGAACCTGGACAGAACCTGCCTGCTAGCCCAGCCTCGCTCTCCTACCTGGTGGTCCGCCGGCAGGGAGCCCCCCCGCTTGTACCACATGACCGTGGCTGGCGCCTGGCCCGCGACGAGGCACTTCAGGTCCAGGGTCTGTCCCTCAGTGACAGAGGATGATGACTGCTCTATCGAAATTGCGGGGTGGATGCCCGAGGCTGGAAGAGCCAAGAGACATGGCATGGCTGACAGCAAATTCTCAGGGCATTTCATACTCCAACGCCAAGACGGTCCCAGCCCACCCCAGCTGTAAACAGCCCAGGAAATGTTCTCAGAGCTGAACCCCTCCTCTCTCCCTCTGAAATTCAAAGGGGACGGCCCCCAACCTGATCCCTGCAGGATGCCCCTGCACTGAAGGCAAGCAGGACGCTGCCCTCCCCTCACCCTAGATCCCAAGGCAGGGCAGGGGACTGGATTCCTCACATGCAGGGCTTCAGCCATGCGTCCTGGGGTACAAAGCTCAGCCGTGCATATACAGGGGAGGCTGCCTCTAAAGCTCACTCTCCCAAGGCTAGTGCCCATGGGACAGGCTACACTGGGGAAACCGGAGCAGAGTCTGCAACGTGCCCCCATCCCCACTTTAAATAGTGTCTCTGGTGGCACCCGATCCTGCCTCTGCCCTGAGCCAAGTGCCTGCTCAACACCCCAGTATGCTCCATGGGGAGGGAAGCCCACAGTGGGGGAGGGGCCTCTTCCCCACAAAGGAGCCTCAGCAGCCATCACCCCCCAGGCCTTCAGCAGTGAGGGACGCGCTCATCATCATTACTGTTTATAGCAGGAGCCACCCGAGGCCTCAGCTGAGATCAGGGCCCATTGTGCCGGGCGCTGCACAGACACAGAGTGAGAGACAGCCCCTGCCCTGAAGAGCTAAACAGAAAAAGGGAGGGGAAACTGAGGCACGGAGAAATTTAGCAGGTCAGTAGCAGAGGGAGCATAGAACCCAGATCCTCAGTCCAGTGCTCTGTCCACTAGGCCAGGCTGCCTGCCACGGATGTACAGAGCCACCCTTTGTGGGACACTGGAAGTCCGGCCGTTGCTGTCTGTTGCCTGGACTCACGGTAGGAAGACCTGGCGCTGCTGACGGTGACAATGACGGAGGCTTCTTGGACTATGGTGCCAGTGCTGATGCGGCAGACGTACTCGCCGGAGTCGGCTGCCAAGACCTGGGGGATGCGCAGGTGGGAGCCAGAGACCTGGCGGGCAAGGAGCCGGGAGAGCGAGAGTCAAGGAGAGAGAGGGACAAACCTCCCATCTGACATCCAGGCTCTGATAACATCTCCTCAGGGCAGGAGGGGCGACCCTCCCCCCACAAGGGCCCATCGCACGAGGGCTGCCACGATCCCAGCCTGTTAGCCAGGGCTCTGCTAACTGCCATTCCTAGGAGAGCAACCTGAGTCCCACTGCCCTGCCGCCCTGGGAGCAGCAGTGCATTGTGGGTAGCGCAGGCGGGGTGACGGGAGCTATGCATGTGACAGAGTGGGAGTTTTTCATAGTATTTTGTATAAGAACATAAGAATGGCCAGACTGGGTCAGACCAAAGGTCCATCTAGCCCAGTTTCCTGTCTTCTGACAGTGGCCAATGCCAGTTGCCCCAGAGGGAATGAACAGAACAAGTAATCATCACGTGATCCATCCTCTGTCTAGTGTGTGGGCCTCAGTGACTGAGTGTGACCCTACAGGGGCTGATGTGTTGAAGGGGCCCCCCAGGGACTGTTCCCAAGTCATGCGAGAGCGCCAGCCTGTGCACCCGTGACAGGTTGTTCCCACACCACTGCAGCACTGGGTTATGGCGGACGTGGGCAGCTTTCCCATGGAGCTGCCAAGTACTAACCAGGGTACCAAGGTGAGGAACCAGATAACTCTGGAGGGAGATGGACGTCCTCCAGAGATGGGCCCATCTGCAGCAAACAACCCCTCCAGACCCACTCTCCCTGGCCCCAAGGAACCCCCAATCACGTCTGGCATGTGTATCTCCTACCTGGCGACTGGCCGGCAGGGAGCCCCCCCGCTTGTACCACGTGACTGTGGCTAGTGCCTGGCCCATGACAAGGCAGTGCAGGTCCAGGGTCTGTCCCTCAGCGATGGAGGACGGGGAAGACTCAATGCGGACAGGGGGCTCTTCGCCCGAGGCTGGAGGAACCAGGGGGAAGGGGGGTTAGAGCTGGGGGAGAGGTCCCCTCACATAGCAGAGGAATTGGGAGATAGAAACAGCCTGCCAAAGCGGCTAGTCCACCCCCAGCCCCCGCGGCCGGAGCAGGAGCTCTGTCAGCAAAGCCTGAAGAGCTGAGGGTCTGACTTTCAGGAGAGGCCAAGGCGGCTGACAGGCTGCGCCTCCTGCTTGGCACGTGGGAGCTCTGTGCTCTGAGGTTCTGGCCTCATGGCCAGTAGCCTCTGCTCCCAGGCACTGGGCCGTGAAGCTCCTTCCAGGTGCAAATGTCGGAGGACAGGAAAAAGCGCTGGCCAAACGGGGGGAACCCAAGGCACATTCCACAGGGAGGGGAAGTAAGCTAGGGCAGAGGTGGGGCTAGAACCCAGGTCTCCTGAGCCCCCTCCATGCCCAGGCCGTGCAGCCTCTCCTGGAGCATCACCTTCCCTCCAGCAGCACAAACGGGCGAAGGGAGATCAGCACCGCAGCTCACTTGCTCCTCAGCCTCTGCACCTCCCTACTAGATGCAGGCCGGAGCTCCCCTGGCCCAGGGGTGGTTAGCCTGTTTCATGGCCACGGCCAGCCCAGGAGATTCCTTCCACTCCTCACTGCTCTGCTCGTCTCCTGGGAGACAAGAGATGCCTTGGCCTAACCCTCCTCCCCTCCTGCGGGACCTCCTCAGCCCCCTCCCTCCCACCCCATGCATCCCAGCTGGCACTGCTGGGCCCAGCTGCCAGCAAGGCAGAGGAGCAGCTGCCCTGAACCCTAAGGCCAGAGGTCACGCCTGAGCCAGGGTTTCCAGGCCAGCCCAGGGCTGCACTGTGCCAGGCACCGCCTTCACTTACAGTAGGGTGAGCCGGTGGTGCGGTAGATGGTGACGATGATGGAGGCCTCTTGGATACCAGCGCCGGTGCTGACGCGGCAGACGTACTCACCCGAGTCGGCCACTGAGACCCGGACCAGCCGCAGGTGGGAGCCGGAGACCTGGTGGGGAACGGGCAGGAAAGCAATGGGGCTTTGTGAGAGGAGAGAATGGAACTGGCAAGCGGAATGGAGCCACTGGGGGAGCTAACCCCATGCCCGCGTCCCTCAGCCAAAGCAGCCTCCCCCAGCGTGTGGGGCAAAGGACTAGCCGGGGTGGGGGCATGGACCCACCTCGCAGTGGTTCTCCAGAGTTCAGCTAAAAGAGTCAGTCTCTTGCTGTGAAGGTTGCACAGAAAATCGTGAAAGCATGACCTGAGTGCCACCAAGGCAGGGTCGGCCTGAGTCTGCAGGGAGCCTGAGACGCTTCATCATGCCGGGGGTGCCCCCACTCAGAGGCCAGGCTGCGCTGCCCCATTAGCTCCACGACAGCATGGCGATATGGGCTGGCCTTTCCCAGGGCGTGTGGGTTGAGGATGGGCGAAGGACCAGCGAGGAAGAGGCCTACACAAGAATGTATCACCCTCCACCCACACATGGCCGGGGAGTGGGGCTGGGGGTGCCGCTGGTTTGATTTTCCTGAAGGGGCGCTAGGGAAGGGCTGCCCAGGGACACGGGTGTGACACTGCACCCCATATTCTTCATAGATATTATGATATGATTATGGCATAATTATGATGTATTTTATGCAAGGCAAGTCATGTGAGATATCATTGGAAAGGTCATGATTTCCTGAATATGATTATCCTATTTGTATGCATGTCTCATTTTTGTATCTGAAGTTAGCAATATTGACTATGTATCTGTATTACAAATGTGTTTACACCTGGGCAACGCCCACTAGACAAGATGGTTTCGTTCTGAAAAGCTCGGTGGGGAAGGGCTAGTAGAGAAACCAACAGGGCTTAGAAGAAGCTTATTTCCCACCTGGGGGGCCTTCCTGAGGAGGCTGCAGACAGCCTCCGACTCATGGCTGCTGGGACACTACAGGGACATGTGACCAGGTCACCTGGTGCTGGACTCCATCTTGGGACATCAGTATTTTTCCACTGACTTGCATGGGAACCAAGCTTTGAAACAAAGGGTTCCCGCAACATGCAAAAGCGATATAAGGCAGGGGAGTGACATCATCGTGGTTCTTCACAGACTCCCCACCCAAAGAGACTCCTGGAAACACCTGAGGAACAAAGACTGACCTGGGGGAAGTGCTGGACCCAGGCTAAAGGGATTTTTAGCCTGGGAATGGAACACCTGGGGACTCCAAGCTGTCAGTTAGTGCAGCTTCCCCTTAGGAATCTGCAGCCTGCTCGTATCATCTCTTAGGGTGAGGATCTGCTGTTCATATCTGATCTATGTAGTATATTAAGCTTAGTTTGCGTGTTTGGTTTATGTGCTAGGTAATCTGCTTTGATCTGTTTGCTATCCCTTAGAATCACTTACAATTTATCTTTTTGTAGTTAATAAACTTGTTTTTGCTTTGTTTAAAACCAGTGTGAGGGATTCCTAACTCGGGGCAGAAAGCGATTGTATATTCCTCTCCACACTGTGGGAGGGGGCGAATTTCATGAGCTTACGCTGTGCAGTTCCCTGTGCAGCACAAGACGGTATCATTTTGGGTTTACACTCCAGAGGGGGTGCGTGCCTAAATAGCTGGGAAGTTCCCTAGTTCCCAGCATCTGCATGTAACTGCAGCTGGGTGTGTCCCTACCTGTACATGGGCTGGGCAGCTTGTCACAGCAGTACAGTATAAAGGAAGCCCAGGCTGGTCGGTCTGGGGGGCTCAGTGGTACCCCAGTTCGAGGTGGCACCCCGGGGGGAACCCGTCACAATGGTAACCTCCCCCTCTATGATGCCACACCTCTTGGGGCAGGACTCTGGAGAGACTCTCCCGGAAGCATGAGGAGCAAGGTATTGTGGGTAAGCTGGACAATGGTGCCAGGTGCTACATTACTGGGAGGCAGCGCTGTGGACTTGCTAGTTCCCCAAGGAATCCCCAAGCAGCTACTGCTGAGTCCTAGGCATTTCAGCCCAGCTCCACACTAGAGCGGGCACAGGCCACAGCGCCAGCCCCAGCCCCCCATGGTCCCACGTAGCCCCATACCTGGTGGCCATCCGGCAGGGAGCCCCCCCGCTTGTACCACATGACTGTGGCTGACGACTGGCCCGTGATGAGGCAGTTCAGGTCCAAGGACTGTCCCTCAGTGACGGCGGAGGAGGAGGACTCAATGTGGATGGGGGGGGCTGGAAGAACAGAGAGGGAGGGGTAGAGCCAAGAGCGGAGCATCACCAAAAGCCAGGCTGGAGCAGCGCTGGCTGGGGGAATGGTAAGAACCCTCAAGTGATTTGTAAAGCAATGGAAATGACCTGCCCGGCTCGCAGCCCCACAGGGTCAGAGCGCAGCTCTCCCAGGACTGGCAAGGCAGCTGCACAGACCACAGGGCAACACCAAGGGGAAAGAAGGCAGCCCACGACCCGCCCTTCGCCCTCCAGGGCAGATACATTGTGCGGGTCTCCTGCCCCCAGAGATCAGCAGAAACTTCCACACCCCCCCCACAACAGCAACCCCTGTGCTGCCTGGTCATGCCACTGTGAGGCTGGTACCCCTGGAGAAAGCACCCAGGGCAACCGTCCCTGAGATCAGATCCCTGTGGCACACTCCCTGCAGCCTGCACCCGTCTGGTGGCCCCGAAACCTGCCCTGTGCAGGGGCAGGGTGTGGAGGGCAGGATCTGCAAGGGGCAAGGCAGGGTCTGGAAAGCACATCCCTGGGGACGCAGCGAGTGAGAGCCATCCCCCCCCAGTGGATGCCAGCGCATTGGCCACAGGGATCCCTGGTACCAGGGGAGCAAGCGCAGGGAGCTCCTGCCCCCAGGCCAGCCAGCACACACAGCTCAGACTTACCGTGTGGGGAGCCGGCACTGTGCTGGACAGTAACTGGGATGGAGGCCTCACGGGAGCTGGCACCAATGCTCACGCGGCAGACGTACTCACCCGAGTCGGCCGCCGAGACCTGAGAGATGCGTAGGTGGGAGCCGGAGACCTGGCAGGGAGATGAGTGGGAGAGAGGGAATTCAAGGGGGAAGAGAAGAAAACAGCCCTGAGCTTAACCCTCAGCCCCACTGCGTCCCCTGCCCAGCCTCCCGGAGATCCCAGGGACTCGCTGGGCCTCAGCCGGAGAACTACTGGCCTCTCATTTCTGCATCCTCCCATCTCCCTGTTCTCAGAGACTGACACAGCTGCCCGCCTGACCTGGGATAAGGAAAAGCCTCCTTGGGATCCATGAGCATCTGTGCCAGGACCCGAGGGAGTCCATACAGGGGCTCTGCAGTGCCACGGGCTGCATCCCCAGCTGGTGTGAACTGGTGCAGCTCCACAGCTGTCCATGGAGTCACACTGATTTCCTACAGCTGTACCTGGTGTCTGGCCGGCAGAGAGCCCCCCCGCTTGTACCACGTCACTGTGGCTGGTGCCTGGCCCGTGACGAGGCAGTTCAGATCCAGGGTCTGTCCCTCAGCGATGGAAGACGATGAGGCCTCGATCCGGATGGGGGGCGGCATGCCCGAGGCTGGAAGAGACAGAACAGGGTAAATCAGCTTAGCACAGATCAATGGCTAAGCTTGTCTACTAGGGCACACAATGCAGCCCGCACATCACCATGCCTACCTACTGCAGCCTAGCGTTCTCTGCAGGTGCCCTGTCAGGGACAGGCCCCCGCATGCCAGGTGCTGCACAGCCACAGAGCAGAAAGGTGGGCCCAGCAGTTGAAATGCATTAGGAATGGGGTCTTGTAGGCCAACTGCTGGAGATGCTTGGCCTTTTCCGGCTGATCTCCTCTATTTACTCACCCAGGCTGACCTCCCACTTGGTCACTTATTTCAAGTGCCACAGTGCGCTGGTGGCAGCACCAAGAACCTCCCTGAGGGGTGGGATCATGGCAGCCCAAGCTGGGAGCCACTCTCTGTGACCAGTGCTGGGCCAGGCGCCAGCACCCCTTCCACTGGCATGCTGCCAGCTCCGTGTGGGCCTGCTCACGCTCACATCCCTTTCACACAAGCATCTGTGCCATGGGGTTTTACTAGCACAAGCTCAAACATCCACCCAGCCACTCGCAGGGGGGAAGACTGAGCTGGCTTCCTTCAAGCATTTACCCCCAGAGCTCAGTCATGCAGCCTTAGGGCTTGGCTACACTTACGCGGTAGTTCGGCGGCTGGCAATCGAACTTCTGGGTTCGATTTATCGCGTCCAGACAAGACGCGATAAATCGAACCCAGAAGTGCTCGCCGTCGACTCCGGTAATCCTGCTCGGCGAGAGCAGTACGCGGAGTCGACGGGGGAGCCTGCCTGCCGCGTCTGGACCGCGGTAAGTTCGAACTAAGGTACGTCGACTTCAGCTACGTTATTCACGTAGCTGAAGTTGCGTACCTTAGTTCGAATTGGGGGGTTAGTGTAGACCAGGCCTTAGTTCCACCAATTGGGCGCAGAGGGACAACACCACATGACCTATCAGGCCCAGCACGACAGCCCCAAATACTTGCCAGTCTCACTTCTTACCCTGGCAGCCACATTCTGTGCTCAGCAGCCCCAGAGTGACTCCAGACTCCACCAGTGCAACCGGTTAATACCCCAGCAGCCACCCCACAGCAGGAGCCCACAGACAAGCTGGGCAATGCTCCTGAATGGGTCCTTGCAGGGACTGAACCGGGGTCTTGGGATATCACAGCCAGACAATCAACTGCTTGAGCTAATAACCCAGCTCCAGCAGCCTGAGGGGGAACAGTGCACTTGGAAAGCTCTTCACTGGTCTGGCCACTAGAGGGAGGCAGGGCTACATGCCTGGGGTCCACTCATATGCTGAGCACAGGCTAGTCTGCAGGATCAGTGCAGAGCCCTTTCTTGGGGGCAGACCCCCCCAGCTGCTTCCCTCTCCTCTTAGCCCAGCCTAAGGGAGCAGATTTTCTGTGGGAGCCTCTTGTTAAAGTCCTGGCAGCACCAACAGCTGGAGAGAAGCTGCAGGAGCTAAAAGGCAGGGGCCTTGCTCCCCTCCCTGAGCTGTGCCCTGGGCACTGGGGAGGTACACCCCCCCCCAGCTGGATGGCACATGGGTGATGCCCAATGCTGCGCTGCACAGCATGTGGCAGGGCAACCCCACAGGTGGCCCAGTCGGCCGGCACATCCCTAGTGGTTAGCAGTGAAAGCCTGTCCTTGGGCCCCTACCTCGTAGCACCACCACCTCGATCCTGGCACTGCCGACACCGGCTGGGCTGGTCCCGATGCACAGGTAGACCCCGCTGTCAGCGGCCGTGATGGAAGGGATCACCAGAGTGGCGATGTCGGTGCGCTCCGAGCGGGACTGCAAACACAGCAAGGGAGCAGTCAGGGCTGGGGTCCCAGGGGCACACGCTCCAAGTGTGCAGGAAGAGGGGAGGGCACCTGGGACCCCGTCCCCATAGTGCGGGGTCAGCAGCAGGCCCCACTGAGGAGACCGTTAATCAGTGCCCAGCTGAGCGGGAAAGGGGCTCCTGGGTGGCCATCTTGGTTACTGGCGGTTTGTCTGGGTGGTACAGGGCCTGTGGGGGAGCTGGAGCACCCTGGAACCCCCATATTCACCCCGTCAAATAATTATGATCTATTTCATACAAGCATGCTGTGATGTTTCACTCCATATTCTTTATGAAAATATGCTTATGATATGACTATGACATAACTGAGATATACTTTACGCAAGATGGCTCATGTGAGATATCATTGGAAAGGTTATGATTTACTGAATGCGATTATCCAATGTGTATGCCTGCATCATTTCTGTATCTGAAGTTAGGGATATTGACTATGTATCTGTATTTCAACTATGCTACTTTGGGTGACGCCCCCTGCTAACCCTTCAGGTAGAACAATGGAAAAGCCAGACAGGGCGGATGGCCCATCAGCTGTGAAAAGCTTGGCCTTCCTGGGGACACTCCATACTGCCCCTGACTCCTGGACGCTGTGATATTACAGGGGCAGGGGACTTGTCACCTCATACTAAGCATTACCTGGGACTCCTTGTAACTTTCCACTGTGAGGGAAGGGGGGGGTCAAGTTTGGAAACAAAGGATTCTGGCCTTATGTAAATCCTATTGAAGGGTGGGGAGGAAGGCAAACGGGACTCCTCCTCTCCATGGCCTGTCTGCCCAAGAAAGACTGCAAAAGCCACCTGAAGGGAATGCAGCGGCGGAGTCCAGACTGAGACAGGGGTCCAGTCTGAAAAGAAATAGAACTGGAACTCTGAACCACAGAAACTTTGCAACCTGCCTAAAATAACATTTAGGGTAAGAAATTACATTGTGTAACCTGTTTCTTAAGTATATTGAGCTTAGCTTGCGTACTGTGGTTTATTTGCTCAGTAATTTGCTTTGTTCTGTCAGTTATCTTATATTCACTTAAAATTCACCTTTTGTAGTTAATAAACTTATTTCTTGTTTATAATATAACCCAGTTTATGTAATTTCTAATTGGGCGTGGGGAGGGAGGGGCAAGAAGTTGTGCATATCTCCCTCCACATTGAGGAAGGGGGCAAATTTCATAAAACTTTTGGGTTTGTACCCCTTAAAGGGAGTGGGCACCAGTGTTGGGGCAAGCCCCTAAAGCTGAATCTTCCCAGAGCAGATCTCTGTCTCTCTGTGCAGCTGGGTGTGGCCCTGCCTGTGCGCTTGGCTGGAAGAGGCTTGTGAGCCTAGCCCAGCCAGGCCAGGTAAAGGGGGCCCAGGCTGGCAGAATAGGCTAACTCAGTGGCATAAGGTGACACCCCAAAGGCCCCAACCCAACACACATGCCATGTAAAATATCATATGAAAGCTCATGATCTGCTGAAACCCACTGTTCTGTCCAAATCTGTATATCGTTAGTATGAGATTTTGCTGTATGGTTGTTACTGAACTATGTTGTAAGTTTGAGAGTCTCTTCTGCTAGGTGGTGACCCAGTCCCTGGGGAGTGTTATGCGACCATTAATCAGCAGGGGAGTTGTAAACAAGGGATTTACAATACTGTAAGAGGGCTGCACAAGCATCACACAATGGGGGATTGCTTAACTCTGTGACTCAGCAAAGCCCACCAGGATATGTCTGGGCTAGTGTTTTCCAGGCACATGGACTGAGGATATAAAATAGGGGATAGTGGCATCATTCTTTGGCCTTTCTCCTCCCTCACTGTGACGAAGTAGGGAGGGGTTCTTGTTTTTTCCTTGTTTTTTCAATGGTTTGTTGTTACAGAGGACCGGCGACGGAACTTGGGACCCCAGCTAATGGCCTAGAGAACGGATACCCCAGTGACTGGTGACCTCCCGAAGGGGGGGACCGAAGCACCGAGGGTAGGGCTCGACAGAGCTGGGCTGGAGCCTCCGTCCCAAGGTGGGGAAACTGTATCCTCAAGTCCAACAGCTGAATTCCAGAAGGAACTGCAGGAGGATCCCGCCTTGGAGAAGCTGAGGGTCTTGCTGGCCACAGCGGTGCAGGAGTATACCATGTATACCATGTCAACATGATGAAACGGTACTGGGCCAGGGAGAAGTTGGTGCTGGCTGTGTGTGGACAGTGGGAGGAGAAGGGAGAGGGGAGAGCTTCCCTGAGGCTGGGGCTGACCCCTCACTGGAATCAATTCCGCTCAGACCAGCTAACCCCTGCCCAGCAGGCAGAGATCAGAGAGGTGCTGCATTCATACCGGCAGCTGTTCTCCAATCGGCCTGGGCTCACTAACCTGGCTGTCCACCAGGTAGAGACGAGAGCCAACCCTCCCATCAGGTGTTCCCCATTCAGGGTCACTGGAAAAACAGCCCAGGACCTGGTGAGAGAGGTCGGGGACATGCTGGCTTTAGGGGTGATCCAGCCGTCCTCCAGCCCCTGGGCCTCGCCCGTGGTGCTGGTCCCCAAGAAGGACGGGTCGATCCGGTTCTGTGTGGACTATTAGAAGCTCAATGCCATCACCATGCCCGATGCCTACCCCATGCCTGGGACCGATGAGATCCTAGACAAGTTGGGGGTACCTGACTACCATGCATCTTACCAAAGGCTACTGGCAGGTGCCTTTGGACCCAGAGGCCAGCGTGAAATCTGCCTTCACCACCCCAATAGGGCTCTTTGAGATCCTGGTCCTGCCTTTCGGCCTCAAGGTAGTAACAGGAGGCCCTGAGAGATAAACCTTGGTATCAGAGGCCTGGTATGAGGCCTAAGGCCTGAACTAAAGTAATGGTCAAGACTTTGCTAACATAAAGCAAAGTTAAGCTGTGAGCCAGAGGCAGGCCCTGCTCACAGAAGCTGGCAAGGAAAGGGCTGATGCTGCAAAAAGATACATACCTAAAAAGTACTGGACACTAAATATTAAAACACTCCTATACTGGAACATTCCACAGATAACATGGAACAGGCCGACCCATCCCAATGACAGGGGCAAAAGGGTAAAATGATGGATAGATCGAACCAACATGTACAAGGTGAGAGGCGGCACCTTACTACGTAGAAGGGTTGTACCTTGCTGCGTAGAGGGGTTGCACCTCAATACGTCAGGAGTGATGTGTAACTTGTTTGTA